ATTGAAACGATGAAGTTTTTGTTTATTGTCGATAGCGATGAGCACTTAAAATAATATATCATAATTAAGTAAAAAATAAAATACTAATAAACTTTTTTATTAGTATTCTGATTAGTTTGGAGCTTTTGGTTAATTAATTTGTAAAAAAAGAATGAATGGTGATTATATTAGGAGGGTTGACCTATGAACTAAAAATTTACTAATAAATTTTTGGTAAAAAATGTCGAGATATTTCAAATCACAGTGCAAGAACGACATAAAAATATTTTGCTTATAGAATGTTTTTACTACCCAAAATCACGACAAATAAAAAATAAATTTTAAATCAACAAATATTTTATTTAACAAATTTTTTTAACAACAAATTATCCAATAAGTAAATTAAAAATTATTCTTTTAATTTCTTAGGTTTAGGCTCACGGTGTGTTCGCCTAACAAATTTATCAAAACGCCGCTTGCAAAGCGGACATTCTAATTTCAATTCTATATCCTCAAAATGAGGATACTCACTAATAATTTCTCCAAATTTCATTCCATCAAATAAATTTTGTTCACCCTCTAATATATGAAGAGATTTAAGTAGCGCAGATTTCTTCATGATGTTTAGAAGATCATCCTGATTTTCCCCTCCTAGGACACAACCATTACAAAAAGACAGACACAAGCATCCTGATGGCATATATTGAAGAGAAACCTCTTCAGAGCCAAATTGACAAATTGCACAAAGATCCCCAGATACCGGCCGTTTGCGCGAATTTGCCCAAAGACGCCACTGACGTTCTTGTTCAATTAAAGCCCTTCTTCGATCCATAAGCTCAAATGCCCTATTTAGTGCATCATCGGCTTCTTGAGTACGTCTATCTGCATCTGCTTCATATTGATGCACATCAGAATGCAACTCCTCAACCTTAAATAACGGAGGTATGAAAGCCTGAACATATGGAGAAGAATTTTTATGAAAAGGGGGGTAGGTCATTCTATTATCTCTATATGAATTATCTCAGTTTATATCAGGACACACTGACGAATTCCGTATTTTCGAAATCGGAAATTAAAAAAGTTAGAAATTGCCGATTTCCAAAATTGTAAATTTTATTTTTCTCGAGAATTACTGTTCCCAAATTTCCAAAATTTTTCTGAAAATTAGGGAATTTTCGTGAATTGCCTTAGATATCTGGCGTTGAAAAGAGAAGAAAATCTTGTTTCAGCCTTTAATAATTTTCAGAATTTTTGCCTGCAGCGCTCTAGATAAAAAGTTTTAGCTTAAGGATTTTCCAAATTTTTCAAAATTTTCGCCTACAGCGCAAATGGAGAGGTGAAAAAAGAATCTAGGAACCACAATCTCTTTTAATAACAAAAATGGAACTTAAATTTAAAGTTATATCAACGTACAATTTGAAACAGACGCTTCATTTCCGATCTAAGCCGGTCTGCATCAGCTAACAGCCTAGCTGCTTGATCCATAAGGTTTTGGGCATGGGAGACAAAAGACCCAGCTTCTTCTAGAAAATCATCCGTTTCGCTCATTGCCATGGATATTCTCTCTACATCCCCGGTGCTCGGAAATGTTCTAGGAGGATCATATCTGAGAACATTTCTTCGCGGGGTTTCACTTCCAGCAGGATCTAGAATTTAATTTATATTCTAAATTAACACACGAGGGTTAAAATTTAAATTATATCTTAAATTCATTATAAAATTAATTATATAATTTTACTTCCATAATATTACTTTAGAATTTAATTATGGATCAGCCATACGATAAATAAGAAAGTAAAGTAGGATGGCAAAAATATTTTAAGAAATTGAATAAATAATTTAATCATTAAATAGAACATAGATAAATTAGAAATGAGATTTGATTGATTCAGGATGGTTTGAAGATTCTATGAACCAAAAATACCCTTATTTATTTTCCTATTGAATCTTTTGAAGAATATATTCTAACCACTTTTTGGGTAGTAGATTTACACAATTTTAAATATAAAATGAAATTCAATATAATACCGCTTGCACCCAAAACATCAACCTCAAGATTTTCTCGAGGCACATCTATTATAAAACCACCCGCACCAGCTCCTTCTGGAACAACGGCTCCGCTAGATCCAGCATCGCCTGGACCATTGATAAACCAGGGGTTTATTGCCCGAATGTAGGCATTTCGTGCCGCCGATTCAGGGGAAATTCCTCTCGCCCTTTCATAATGAATTTCTAAATAAATTTTATAATTAGATTGACGATTTTTGGCAAAACCCCTTTCCAAACCCCGAGGTATTACACTACAAACTGGGAATTTGTTATAACTCTCGAAAAAAATGATTTAAAAACAAAATTTTTTACAAACCTAATTCTAGACCACTATTTATTATTACAAAAAGTCTGAAAATAAAGACAACGGTTACAGTATTGAAACCGGGAAAAATATAGGTGGGGCTATAATTTTGTGGAGGAGTGTATATAACAAAATAATTAACCTAATGCATAAAAAAGAGAAAGTTTACCCAAAAAATAATTCTAGACTATTTTGAACTATATTAATTTTTAAATATTAATAAATATGATTAATTGAAATATATTACCATCTTCTTCCACTTCATCTATTATAAGATTATTTGCCGGATGAGTGCTGGAGCTTTGATTTGATGCCATTATTTAATAAAAATATTTAAAATAATTGAAATTCCAATATTCTTTTAAAATTTAGTTAAACAATATTATCAAAAAAAGAAAGAAAGATTAAAAGATTTGATATTTAAAACATTTAAATTAAAATTTTAACAAATAATACTAGTATCTTGATTTCAAATTAATTTTAACAATGATAAGTAAGAATAATTATTTAAATTGAAATGAAATATTTTAAAAATATAATATATTTTATAAGATTTTAAATAGAAATTTTCTATAATAAAAATTGAAAACAGCCTTGAAAATTAATAATATTTATTATAACTTAATATTTGAATGACTCTCGACTATAAATTGGTGTGGGTGGAGTAGAAATTATTTTGTATTCAAACCAATCCCGTCCTGCAAAAATTTTTTATAAAAATTTTATTTTGTTTCAAACTTTCCCTTTTATCTCTATATTTTCCCGACAAAAGATTGCGTTTTTATATTAAAGTTATGCCAAAATTAAAAATTTTCTTTAAACATTTGAATAAGCCGCCAACTCATCAATCAACTCAATTTTCACTTTTAACCATATTTAAAAAGAGTTGAATTATATCTTTTATTATAATATTGAAATTAAAAAATAAGAATTGAGATAAAACAAATTCATTTAAAATATAAGTAAAAAATAATTAATAATATATTTATGGTAATTTTTATATTCGTAATTTTTCTGATGATTTTGTATCAAATCTGTTTGAAAATCCATGTCTCATATTCATACTTGTAACATTTTTACATAGATCAATGGTAATACCAATCCTGCAATAATACCAATCCTTCAATAATACCAATCCTTCAATTCAATACCAATCCTTCAAGGTAATACCAATCCTTCAATTCAAACTTAACCACGTATTTGTTATTATTATAATAAATGTATTTGAGCATTTTTGCATATTCGAAATTTGACGGCTCAATTTTAATTATCTGTTTTTGAACTGTTATTTGATTTTACTAATTTAACTTCTATAATCTCTTGCATCTCAATTTCCATCAGAAAACTAATTTTCTGAAGCTTTTGCTTTATTTATTTGCTTATTTTATTTATAGATATGGAAAATATTGCTTAAATAAATAGAATGGCAAATTTATCAGAGTCCATAAAATTTTTAAGCCCATCTTTCCGATATCTCTTATCATACATAGTTATTTTTCATTGCCAATATTTGAAAATTAAAACAATATATTATATTTAAAGGTCTAAATTTTTAAATAAAGACTAAATACACATTATAATAAAAACACTTTGCAATTTATATCTGTAAAAATTAATTGATCATAATTATCGTTGGATATATAATTCCGAATCAATTATTAAGAATTATGCGATTTTATTACAAATTTTTTGAGTCTATAAAATTTTTAAGCCCATCTTGGAAACGCTATGGTGTCATTGGAAACGCTATGGTTTGATTGAAAAGGTACTGAAACAAAAAATAATTAATTCGGATGTTTTACATCAACTAGACCTATACATGACAAAAGATAATCTTTACCAGTACTATTTTAAACGAAAAGGAAAGAAATCCATGTCAACGGTAGCGAAATGCCTAATTTTTATTGATTTAGTATATTTTATATTTTAATGCAATTTATAATATTTTTAAAGCATTGTTATCTTTTATTTCTTCTATAATATGTAGATATTTTTTGATATTTTATTAGTTTAATATTAAGTAAATGTTTTTGCCAAAAATATAATAGTTTAGACCTGGTTTTGGATTTAAATAGAGTAATACAAAACAATGGGATCGCTTAATTTAGTAAAGTAAATCTTCATTAAACCTCATTTAATAATGTAATTAAATTTCATTTAATAAAGTGTGTATAGTAATTAATTTCTGTTTCTAAAATTTTTTTATATATTTTAAAGTATTAAAATAATATTAGCGATTTTAAAGTATTACTTTTTATTTTTATCTAAAATTATTTATTTTTTATATTTTAATTTAAACATTTTTGTCAAAAGAATATGAAGAAATTCCCCTGATTTCAAAGAATATTCCCTTGATTTAAAGAAAATCGGGGAAAATCAAAAGAAAGTGAAACAACAGTTAAGTCAAAGCAAGAAAAGAGAAATCTAGTAATTTATTGTGTAAATATTTTGATTAATTTTATTATTATTAAACATAATTTAAAATAAATAAAAAATAAATTAAAAACAAATAGAAGTAAAATGGATCAAAAATAATTTCAAAATATTTTAAACATAATACAAAACATTGATATTTCATTTTGAAAATAAAATCTATATTATTTTTTTCATATTTAATTTGTTGATATTAAAATATGTATATGTTTTTATATTTTTAAATTATTTTAGCTTATTTTTGTCCAAAATGTACAATTTTTAAATTAGAAATAATACCTTTCTGAATAATCGGTCTAAACATTTTGTGCATCTTTGTTGAATAAATATTCCCTTCTTTCAAATTTGGCCGCAAAAAATTTGAATTTTCTACCATTATCCTCCCTTCATTTAAGTTTTCATCTTCATTTTCTTCATCTCCCTCATTGGCATACAAAAGAACGCTGTCTTTGAAACTTTGAAAGTGTAAAAGTTTGCAGACATCATTTGTTAGAGTTATTCCGCGCACTTTAAGTACACTGCTCTCCCTTCCATTTTTAACATTGATCATTCTTAGTGCATATGCTTTGCAGGCTCCACCAACATACTCTTTTATAGAAAAACCTGCATATTCCTTTGCTAACTCTCCTAGATGGGGGCCGGTTTGAAGGGGGCAATTCATGTTCGATGGATGGGCAAAAAGTATACTATCTGTATCTCCATAAAGGATTTTACAACCTGGCGAGCAGGCCACCTTTTGCATAACTTTTAATAGTCTTATTCTTGCTGCTGAGGTAGTCCAAAGTGATATCACAATATTTGATGTATCATGTTCTATAATAAATTCTTCTTTAGGTTTGTAGGTCAATAAAACTGTTTCTTCGGTTAACTTATCAACATTTTGAATTTCTATTGATTCATTTAAGGTAAATTCTCGAAGCTCGGTAGGAGAATCTGTGATGACACTTTTCGATAGTCCATTTCTAAGACTAAATCTCCCCCATAATGAATTGAGCATTAATTTAGAAATGTAGCGCATAGCTTTGTCAGGAATCATTTTTTCCCTCTGAACATTTATTCCGAATTTTTCTTCACATTCTTTTATAAATTTTTCTTCACTTTCTTCTCCTTCTATTCCTTCAGGGAAACCACTGGCATGAATTTTCATTGCCATGAATTCTGCCACATAATTTTTAAAAAGATGATCATCCCATTTTTCGTACTCTAATGCTCTGTAAAATCTGCTAACACGATAACCTGCATTAAGTGCCTCCTCTAACTCAATTGATGTGCAGGTCGATACCCATCCTCTCTCTTCTTCCTCATGGGGGCAGTGATAATCTTTAATATGCGCGCCAGTGGGATAATTTAGGGCACATTTTCTACATAGCGGAAAAAGGAGACGTTCATCAAACTTTACTGGGATAACAGGAACCTCTAGCTGTGGCGGGGGAATTAAAAATACTTTTAAAATTCCTTTGTATGGAATATGCTCACTTCTGGTCCAATAAACGTTTTGCTCAGCCAATGGTACAACATGTACCTTTGGATGTCCAACAGGAAATGATGTTGTTGAAATCGTTGCCGGATAAAGTGAATTAAAATCTAAATAAGTTATTTCATCTTTCACATTATCAGCTTCAAAATGTAATTGCACGGGTCCTGTTCTGCCACCAAAATAGCAGTCACGAATATTTATAGGACCTTTATTATGATAATTTGCAAAAGCTTTACGCATTTTCTTGTTCCGTCGAAGCATTTGCCGAATTTCACATTCCCAAATAACATCTACATTTTTTATATTTTGTTTAAGAAATTCCATCCTAATTTCATCATCTTTACGTGTTTCTGAGACTGTTTTTCCATTAGGCAAAATTTTATCTGGCTCATCGCCAAAACATTTTTTACAAGCGTGCCAAACACACCCGTGAATTTCTATTGCTCTATCTTCTTTCTCAATATAGCCGTCGACCTTGAATTTTCCCACCACATGTTCTCCACCTTTTGAATGTGCTGTTTTTAGTTCAACTCCCAAGCTTTCTTCATACCATTGCAAATATTTTAACGCAATATCACTCTGATTATCACAACTTTCATATCCCTTTTCAGGGACAATTGCCAAATGTTCTGGTTTTAAATGATTTAAACGAAAATGTTTCATACATGCTGAAGCAATTGTCATAGAATCTCTCAGAATGTCTATTCCAATTTCTTCGCCAGTTTTAGAATTTTTATTCTTACTGATTTCTGCAAATTTTACTCTAAATGCAATTAGCGCCTCTGTAAGTATTTGCACATCGTTTAAACAATATTCGGCCAAGGCTTCATCAAGGAAAAATGGTTGACTTTTTTCATTGGCATACCATTTGTCAAATTCCTGTTGCCTTTCTGTAGTCATCCCTCCATAGATATAATCTGTTTTTGATGGAAGTTGCGACAGAATCTTTCCATAATTTGAAGTTTTATTTGCCAAATGAGGGAAAAATTGTTTTTCAGTAATTTTCAAACCAAATGCGCCAACTAGTTTCCCCAAACCAACAGGGCAAAGATTAAAAGAATCCCTAAATATAACCTCGCCGCTCTTCTGATTACGACAAATTCTCATTTCATAAAGTTTATTTCCTTGACGAATCATAGTTGGTATAATTCCTGCTAGGTAAATTTCTCGGAAAGTCATTATCATGTCATAACGGCCTCCAAAATGTGAAAATGCCATCGTCTGATATTGTGGGTTAAGATCAAATAGAATCCAATGTACGAATTCTTTTAAAGGATTTTCATTAATGACTTGCTCATCTACCTCCGTCATGAAAAAAGGACGATGAGAGAAAGTTATTGATCTATTCTTCCCGCAAATTGCACATTTTTTTTCAGTTTTTTTAAGAAGTGAACGCCACAATTCATCTTCTTCCATACATTTAGTGCAAGTGACAATTGCAGCTATAAAATTCACTTTATGAAGCCGTTTTTCTTCTTCTCCGTATTTTTTAATCTCATCTTGCGTTGCCTCAAAATCAAATGTAACTAACCGGTAAGGAACATTTTTTTTAGGTTCCAAGGGACGAATAAAACAGCCCCTATCCATACTATGAAATTGTCGACATATTTGGCACCACTTTTGCCCACATACATGCATTTGTGTTTGTTCTCTTATATAATTTTTCACAGACCATATCACTCCGCATTTTTCACATTGCTTTGAACGACGACAATTATTACCTATTTTGTGTGCCTTAAAACAATCTTCATTAAGATATTTTTTTCCACAATCATCACATGACATAAAGAAATCACCAGTAGCCACACATATATCTCGTCCCACGCGTCCACAAAATTTACATCTGGATTTGCATCTCATACTATGATCACTGTCTTTTCGATATTTTTTTTCGCATGTAAAGCAATATTTCTGTCGATCACCAAACATACCTCCAACATTTCTTATTCCGTCAAAATGTCCATTTGAATGAAAAATTGATATTGGGACATTGAAATTATCTGGACCATATTTATACTTAGCCTTCTCTTCAAATGGTCCAAATATAAATACTTTATATCTATATCCTAAATCCATGTGTTTTTTGTTCCAATAATCAACAATTTGAGGAACAAAAATAATTGCATCGTATTCTGGAAGATCATGAGGAATTAGTGCGTCTTTTAAAAGTTCAGAAACATCTTTCATTTGTCGGTCTTTATATTCTAGAAGATAACGACTAAATTTTCTTCTGCATCCTAGTTCTTTTATTGAATATTTTCTTGTTAGTTCAAGAGCATAAAATAAACACAAATTATTCGGATTTTGAATTTTAATGAAGTGAAATTCTTTTGCATTTGTATTAATTTGTGGAATAATTTGAGTTGGAGGTCTACTACCTATAATAGTTGTTCTTTTTGGTAGGGAATGAGTACCAAGTACTTGAACTGTAATAGTGAAAGGCTGGCCAAAAATTGATCCTTTTTCTGCTTTAGATTGTGAAACGAGTTGAAATCTGTTCAAAATATTTTCGCTAGTATCTGATTGAATCCGTCTTATTGGGATCCAAATATCTGAATCAAGTAATTGAGATGAAATCATTGCACCGAGATGATCCGGCTCAATTAACTTCTTTCTTGCCTCATTTATAGTCTGAACAACACAATTCTCAATAATATTTCGTATAAGGTTTTCAGGATTAGATATTAAGTTCGGCAAATTTTCAATTATATATTTTGTGCTATTCTTTAGCATTTTGAATTTTTTTGAATATTCAATATTACTTTCAAGCTTTCTTATAAATTTATCATTATCAGTCTTTCCTGTTCCTTCTTGGACACTTTCAAACAAATTTGAAAGTAAATTTTGAATAAAAAATCTTGGCTTTTTTACTGAGTGTTCCATTATGAATGAATAATATTTTTCAATGAAATGATTTAAAGAATTTAAATAGTCTCGTTTTTATACTCATTTTGTTATAAATACCAGAAATACGGCCAAGGTCATTTATATTATAACTATTTCTTAATTATTTCATATAAACTATATTAATCAATTTTGCCTAATAACTTAATAAAGCTGGGCTTTAATCAAGGTCATTTTATAAAATCTATAATTTACTTAAGCCATATAACATACATTAATCATTGTTTTTCCAAATATATGTAAATACATAAATATTTAACTGTTTGCAAAATTGAGAATGTTTTTATACATTAAAGGGAGAAGCTCAATTTCATGTTTGAATATTTATATGTTTCGTACTATCTTATATTAGACGACATTTTATATAGCTTATTACGATAAAGAACTGGATATTCTACAAATCAACAGATTATTTACTATTGTTCCGGAAAAGTAGGATAATGTGTACGATTTATATCATGAAGAACATAGAAGACAGCCAGTTGGTAATAAAAAATTTTAACAAAAATTTGTATTAAAAATGTATTTTTTGACTATTCTATCAAAATTCTCAATTGTTTTAAAAAGTAAAATTTAATTAGTTATGTAAATTATATTATAGAAATAAGTTTTGTATGAAGCTTAATCAATTTTTTCCATAATTATCACCACGTATTTAGTTAAAAAATTTAATATTTCAGCACACATCATTTTTTTAAATTCTTCAAATTTTCATTATAAAACTAAATTTAAATATATAAATTTATATTTTGACACTTGGCCATGTACAAATAAGATTTAATATTTTATCAACATTCAAAATTTTTAAAACAAAAATTGTAAAGAAATTTCACATTTTTTTATAAAAACAATAATTTATAAAAATTCTTTTTTTAATTTAAATGTTTTTACATAAATAAAAAATGAAATAATGCATCAAAAAGAATTTAGCTTTAATCTCTACATAAATATCTACACATGTACATTTTGAATAATAAATTAAATAAACAAAGGGATATTGGCAAAAATTTTTAATTAAAAGATTTTGTAATATTTTATTTAAATAATATAAGTTAATACCAATTTTTAAACAAGGTAAGATTGCCATGTGAAAAAAAACTTTTGTCCCATACCCACAATCCCTTGAGTTGTCAGTACCTTTTGCAGAAAAGAAATTCCCGCAAAATTTTTCTCTAAAGAGAACGAGAGTCAGCATAGTTACCCCTTTCCACTACTTCAATAAGCCTATTTTGGGGACGGAAGGGTAAGTACCTCAATTACTTCAAAGGAGGTGACCAAGGTCACCTCCTTTCCCCCCAACCCCTATTTTTCAATCACCCCCCTTTCCTCCTACCCTCTATTTTCAATCACCCCTTTTCCTC